AAAGGCATGCTGGAGATAAGCCATCACGGAAGCCCAGGTGTCCTGGTTAAATCTTTCTTACATCACTCCTTATTTTGTTATATGACCATTGCTATACCTTTGAAAATACTAGGATGTGAGAGTGATTTATTGCTTCTTACATTTAAAATTACTATAATTGAAAGTAGAAAAAATGAGTTGTAAACCCTGTCGATTTCCACTTAGTTCACTGAAGACATATAGGAGGGCTAATTCATCACTGCATATCCCACTCTTAGCATGATGCTTAGCCTTATATGTATTTATTAAATAAATGATAAGCAGAATGAAATTAGTTCTTGAGTTGATGAAACAACATGAAGATATTAATGATGAAACAACTGACACTGTGAAGCTCAATGTTTGACTGCAGCATTTCAGTTAGGGAATTAGAGACTTGGCACAATTGTTTCAAAGAAGGTAAATAAACTAAATAAACCCATAGCGTTAGAGACTTTAAAATCTTTCATTCTAAATTTAACACAGTATATGCAACTTGGCAGATCCATATACTGTTATGGTTAGAAATTCTGTAATCATTTATTTTTTCTTGGTGTAATAGGTAGAATTTTAAAATTATTCTGACCTCTATGCATCCCCTCCCACTGAGTACAGGAGGGACCTGTGAATATGATGGGATATTATTCCCATGCTTAGGTTATGTCACATGGCACAGCTGACTTTACGAAAGAGAGATTATTGTTGGTGGACCTGGCTAAATCAGGTGAGCCCTTAAAAGGGGCAAGATCTCTTCTTCTGGGTAAAAGGAATTTAAAGTGCTGGGATTCTATATGAGGGAGATTCTTCACTGCTGACTCTGAAAACGAAGAGGGCCAGATCGCAAGGAATAAGATCAACTTCTAAGAGCGGCCCCTCTCTGACAGCCAGCAAGGAAATGGGGATCTCACTCCTACAACCACAAGCAACTCGACTCTGCCAACAACCTGAATCTTTGATGTGGATCCTTATCCAGAGCTTCCTGATAAGAATGCAGGCCAGCAAACAAGACACCTGAGAGTGGGGACCTGAGCAGAGAATACAAATAAGTTGCACTTAAGACTACTGACCAATGGAACTCAAAGTTTCAATCCAATAAATATTTCTAAACAACTAATAATTTGTAAACTTTACAAATTATTTTCTCATATATACTTTCATTTAATCATCTCACCAACTCAGTAAAAAGAGTATCCTTATTCTCCACTCTCATTTTTTAACAGAGTCTCACATAGAGCAATTTTATTGCTCAAGATCACAAAAACAGGCTGTGAAATAATGCCTAAAATTTAAAACAAAGCAAGGTATAATTAGATAACAATATTCTTAAAATTATGAGGCCAGGATCACTATTAAATACTTAAGACTCTCACCAAGACTGGGGCTACAGTTAGACATGTGAGGCATTCACCTTGAGCTCTAAATTTAAGGTAAGGGGTAGACCAAAAAAATACATCAATAATCAAGAAAAATTATGTTTTCAATTAATATTTTAAAACTTTGAAATTAATGCCAAAAATTCATGATGAGAAAATATCACACTTTTAAATAAAGACGCCATCCATGGTCTGAAAAAAGGGTTAAATGAGTCAGGTACTCACTGTCAGGGTCTTGCAAGTGCAGGGTCAGATCCTGTCTTTACTTAAAATTTTAAAATTTTGTTTCTTACTCCTCTTACCTCACTTGCTCTGATTCAGTAACCTGTACTCTTTGGCACTTCCTTATCTTCCATTTACTAGGAGGTATTAACATGTTTTCTTATTTCTGAAATAAACTCTTCTACTCAGTTATTTTGGTTGCCTGGCAAGAGGCAAAGTTAAGTGTTCAAAAATATAGTTCTCATCATCTGACAAATTGGCTCCTGGCTATTTTAGTGGGCTCACTTAACACAGGGCAACATTCCTCTAAGTTGGCCTTGATCACTGATATGTCCTGTTTCTCCTTAATATCATTATGTCAGCTAGAGCTGATGTCTTAGGGAATGAGGCACGGGGATGAGGAAGCCTTCAGAACTTCAGTCCCTCATCAGCAGTGTGGCCATTGAAATAGTTGAAATGGTATTGGAAACATCAGGTTTAAAAGTAGACAACTTGTCTAAGGTGGCCTAGAGCAAAAGGTAAAAGTGAACAAGATCTTCATCCACTGAAAGACTAAAGTTGTTGTCAGGGGCCAAATCACTCTAGATGACTTCTGCTTGAGAAGGTGTTATTATACCACTCAGGGAGGAACAGGATGAGTGGAAGGACAGGGGAAGAGGGAGCTTACAATAGATAAAGGACTCTGAGATAGCTCTAACAGCGGAATGGTGACAAACCTGGTTTATAACCTAAGACTCCTTACCCACAATTTGAGTGTCTTTGTTCTACAACATTCTATATTTCTGGGCTTATTAACTTAAAAACATGTCCCAAAAGTTACCTACTCAAGAAGTAAATATTCATTCAAAAATCTAAGTATTTAACTTACTAACAAGTGAAATAAGAAGTTGGAAAATTTATTTTAATAAATTGAGACAACATATTAGCATATTTATTCAAACAAATCAGATATTTTTGCAATGACCACATTAATGGAGTCCTGATATGAAGTCCATTAGGACAGCTCTATATTGAATAAGTTTGTGAACATAGACTTTATTTTTATGTCTACATGTATACAAGCAAGCTAAGATAGTAACAACACTCATACTATTTGACATATCTACATTAGAATTTATAAAGAAAAAACAAAACTCAACTGGCATACTGACTGGTTAGCTATACAGACAGCATAGGAATTATACCTTTTCAAAGAAAACTAGCTTTGAATACATCATGGTAAAATTTTCTGTTTTTCCAATATCATAATTATCTGTAGGCATGAATAGTATATCATGTGACAAAGACTAGTGCCTGAACATTGACTATTCTAATAGTGCTCATTAATAATCATTAATAAGATGAATTATTCAACTAGTTATGAACTGGTTTAGTTCTCAAGCAAGATTTTTTGTTATTTAAAATTACCAAAAAAAATATAATTTTGAGCTAGAATTTTCTGATATTTATTAGACAAAGAGCAACTTAGCTTTCTTGATCTATCTATATATCTATCTCCTTAGGCAGTAAAATGGGGCAATTGTAAGGCTCACCTCAAGAAAAAAAAATTCTGCCTACAGATATATTTCAGCTAATAATCTCAGAAGGAATGGTAGAATCAGAGTTACAATTCAGCAGCCCCTAATAGATTAATGGACATCAGTGGTGATCCTCAATGACTGCCAACCTCACCACAAAGGAAACAACAGACATTATGCGTCTCCTAATAAAATTGTGGTGTCACCTCTGAAGTGGTTCTGCCAGCAAAGAGAATTGGCATTCACTATGTTAACAGAGAAGAAAGAGCATTTGATCATATGTAGAAATAACGAAAAAAACCTTAGATAAAAATTTAACACCACTTCATGGTAATAACTGTTAGCAAACTTAACATTAGAATGGAATTTCCATGTTGTAAAATCAACAGTAAACATATATAAGTGTGAAATGTTAGACACATTCCCAGTAAAGTCCACAACAGGCCACAAAGGTATGGAACCAATTCTACTGTTCAAACCTGGACTGGATTGCATAGCCAGTATACAGCCATGCACAGAAATACAAAATAAAAATTATAAATAATGAAAAGAAAGAGATAGTACAATCCTCTAATTAAAAACTCCAAAGAAATCAGCTGCCAAATATTTAAATGTATAAGAAACTTGACTATAGCAAAATCAGTCTTATTACATAAAATAAATAGCTAATTAGAATGTGTAATGGAAAACATACCATTCGAAACAGCAGTAATATCCAAAACATAGATTAAAACAGAACTAACAAAAATGTATATGATCTTTATGGAAGCAAATATAAAATTATTACTGATAGACTTTAAAAAAGTCTCAAACAGAGCAATATACTATGTTTATTCACGGTACACATAAATATTGTACTTATGTCAGTTCTCCTTAAACTATTTACAGATTTGTGCCTTACCTGATAAGTTTGGACCCGCATCAGCAGATGAGTGGTAGCCCAGCACCTTACAAGGCATCGAGGTAAGACAATGAGTGAAGACGAGTGGAGAACCCACCGCAAAATAAGGGGCCGCAAATGCCGTCCTACTGTCGACATCTCAGGCACGGCTGTTAGGCTCAGGTTCTCTCTTTTTTCCTACTGGCGATTCTGAGGGAAATAAAAGCCTTGGTCTAAGGCCAGCTGACTCGGGTCTCCAGAAGGAGATGTCCCAGGCCCTGTCTGGAGTCAGGAAAGACTCCGCGGGATTCAGCATGATTCCTCTACCCGCAGAACAGAGGGGGAGTGCCCACTCCAGAACCCTACCCAGGCGGTTATTCTGAGAAGCCCAAGTAGGCGTGGTCGGAAGTGCTCCCCCTGACCTCCGCTGCCATATCGGCTGTCGAGTTCGAGGCTTCACGAGAGGTGCGCCTCGCGTCAGCTGAGGGAAGGGGCCGAGGATTGGACAAGTGCCAAGGTAAGTAACATTTGTTAGAACTGAAGGGACACATTCCCCCCAGAACTAAGGTAGCCCCACAGAGCCTCACCCTACCCTGACATGCCCCACCCCTCTGCCAACTTCCAGCAGCTGAAACATGGCTGTTAGACCTAAGACGCCCTCACTTTCACCTAAGGGATTGGTGGGATGAGAAGCCTTGGTCTGAAGGGGCAGCCTCAGGTCAGCAGAAAGAGGGGTCAAAGTACTGGTTAGGAGTCAAGTTTGGTGTCCTGAGTTAGAACTGAGGCAACAAGCCCACGCAGAACAGAAGTCCCGAGAGTCCCTCCCGCCCCTGTTTTATAAGTTCCTAAAATGGTACCATTAAGGGAACCAGCAGAGGCAGCCTTTCTTGAAGCCGCTGTGCACATCATCTCTTCCTCTGTCTTCTAGGGTGACCTGTTCATCAACCTAATTGCTTGAACTCCTGCCTGCTGTCCGTGACCAGTGTCATTATGCCTCGAGGTCAGAAGAGTAAGCTTCGTGCCCGTGAGAAACGCCGCCAGGTCCGTAATGAGACCCAGGGTCTGGCGAGCGCTCAGGCTATCGCGGCAGAGGAAGGAGAGTCCACCTCTGCCGGTCGTCTCTCTGGGGGCAAACCTGAGAATCTGCCTGATGCTGAGATGCCTAGCACTCCTACGGAGCCTAAGGGAACCCTGTCTACCACTAATACTACTGCAGCTGTTTCATGTGCCAATTCAGGTGAATGTGCCAACGACCAAGATGAGGAAAGCTCAAAATCCTCAAACAGCCCTGAGCACTTTCACAGAGATCCTTTAAACAAGAAGGTAGTTTTGTTGGTGCAATTACTGCTGCAGAAGTATCAAAACAAAGAGCCAATTATGAAGACAGACATGATGAAGTTAGTTAACAAAAAGTACAAGGTTCATTTCAATGAGATCCTCAAGAGAGCCTCTGAGCACATGGAGCTGGCCTTTGGTGTTGATTTGAAGGAAGTGGATCCCATTAGGCACTGCTATGCCCTTGTCAACAAACTAGACATCGCTTTTGATGCATCAGTGAATGAAGAAGAGAACATGCCCAAGACCGGCCTCCTGATGATTGTGCTAGGTGTGATCTTCATGAAAAGCAACTGCGCCACCGAGGAGGAGATCTGGGAAGTGCTGAATATGATGGGTGTCTATGCGGATAAGAAGCACTTCATCTATGGGGATCCCAAGAAGGTCCTCACTGAAGATTTGGTGCAGCTCAAGTACCTGCAGTCCCGCCAGGTGCCTGATAGTGATCCTCCCCGCTTGGAGTTCCTGTGGGGCCCAAGAGCCCACGCCGAAACCAGCAAGATGAGAGTCCTGGAGTTTTTGGCCAAGATCCATGATACCATCCCGAGTGCCTTCCCAGCCTGGTATGAAGAGGCTTTGCGAGATGAGGAAGAGAGAGCCCGGGCCAGAGCAGCAGCCAAGGCTCGTATTGCTGTCATGGCCAGGGCGCGCTCCAAGGCCTTGGTTAGCAGTTCCTCCCCCACTAAGTGAAGTCTGAGTCAACTTCTTCACTTTTTGGTTGAACAGGTATGTCAACATTCTAATAGTGGAGGGCCAGGATGGGGCTGGAAAATGTATGTCATCTTTGTGTTCCTATTGTATATTGGTGGCTTGAAATCTTACCTTTTTTTCCCCTTTTCTTTGCTTTAGGTTATATTTCAAATGTTGAAGTCTAAGGAAGATTGTTTTCTTTGTGGAAGAAAAGCACAGACAACATTCAAAGCAGAGAAGATTGGGGTGGGTCTGGAAGGAACAGTGTATATCATCTTTGTGTTCCTGTTTAATATGGTAAACTTTAGAGTTTTATGTTACTTTTTTTCTTTTTTCTTTTCTTTCTTTTGTTACATTTCAAATGTTGATTCTTTAATAGAAGGCTTAAATAATTTCGGAATCTAAGATTTTAGTCACATATTGCTGTTTAATAGATTTAAGATTAGGAGTTTTATTATTTTGTAAAACAAATTGGGAAACCTTTTATATTTACTGAACCAGAACAACAAAACATGGCATTCCTTGAAAATGTGAAGAAATTTAGCAGTAAAATTATCAAGATCAAAAAATAGAGGGGGGAAAAAAGTAAAGGATGTTCAGTTTTTGGTTTCCCTTATTCATTTTAGTCTGTTCTATAAAAATAAAAGCTACATACCTGGAGCTACATAACTACATACCTATTTGCTTAGCTTACTAAAGAATGTAGAAGAAATAAAATGTTTATAAACTAGAATTCATGCTTACTGGCTCATTTGTTCCCCAAATATTGAGCATCTGCTCTTTGAAAGTCCTCGTGTTAGAAATGGGAAAATGAAACACCCCTGTCCTTAGAATTTCAGTCAAGGAGCAGTAATCATTTAGAGAAAATGGCGAAATACCGTCTAAGGCCTAAAAGACAGGTAAAGAGTAAAGAGGTAAAGAGGAAGGGAAGGAGTTGGGAGGAGTGGGAGGAGGAGGGTTCTGCGTGAAAACAGTAAGGTATAAATTCCCTGAGGAAATTTGGAATTTGGGAAACTACAAGTCCCTCAGTGGGATATACTATTAATTTAAGCAGGGTGGTAGGCTGAGTGAGGCTGTGGGACTTGAGAGCAGAGGCCAGAAAGACAGATGGTTATTCTCAGTGTCGAAAGACAAAACCCTGGAATGGAAACCTGCTCTTAAGAGTTGCTTTAGTATCATCAGTAAATCAGAGGAAAACCTCCTCCTGGACCAGAAAGAGAAGGTGCCTCTTTGCTTTTGCTCATGTGCAGTTGAACACAGAGCACAATCTAGGTGTTTGAAGCACAGTCTTCAAGGAATTTCTGAGAAATAATGGTGGTACTCCCTTGAGGTAGAATGCTTAGAAGTTACTATGTTGGCTCTGTTTGCCCTGAACTGGGTAGGAGAATTAGATCACAATGCATTAAAAGGATATTTTAATTAGGTTATCTTGAGGGTAATTTCACAAACTCTGAGAGAGGGCTCCTTATTCGGGGGTGATGAAATGAATGAAAATTGAGATGGTTTGAATGGAAAGGCACCTTGGATGGGAAGTTGTCAATCCTTGACACAAATTCTAGGATCTCTGAGTTGCATCCAACTGAGAAAGACTCCCCCACATCCAAATTAAGTAACTTATCCTCAAATGGGGGAACATTTACTTAGTTTAACTTGCTAAGCAGCATTATGAGCAAATTTGATGTTATTTGTCCTAGAAAGCTGCATATTGTATGCTAGCTCCTGAATTAATAAAAAATTACTCTCCCAAGAGAGGAGGGTATTATCATCTGTAATAAAAAATAAAAGTAAAAATAAATCATATATGATAACTGCCATCCATTAAATTCCTAATATTTTCTAATTACTCTGCCAAGTGCTTCATATCCATTGCATATATTCCAACAGTCCTACAAGATAGGGCTTATCAGACATACTTTTCAGATAAAAAACTTGTAATTTTCTCAAGTTCACATGGCCGACTTTCTGTTCCTTCAGTCTTTATTCTCACTACTCCAAGATGTATCACAGACAATTAAAAAATAAGACTCTCTAGCCAAAGTATTAAAAGCAATCCTGATGAAAGAAGGCAAATGTGAAAATAAAGCACAATTTGGGGATTGTGTGTGGGTTTCATTTGCTGAGGATATTCCTGTCCCCCACCCCAAGGTTCCTTGACAGCTGACTTTGCCCTGGTGCTAGCATAAGTCCTATACCAGTCCATTACTACATTACAGGACTTCTCCCCTGGGGATTCCCCAGTGTGCCTTCCTGTCCGAATTGGAACCTCATATGCTGACCAGCAATTCACTGTGCTTTCCAGAAACTGCACGCTGCTTTCTGTGTTACAGGAAGTCTGGAATCACCTGCCTTCCCCTTAATTTGAATGTTCCAACCCTGCAGGTGTGCCTTGGAGATACACCAGTCTTGGTGGGACCATTGACAGTGAAGTTAAGATATTTGGTTACTACAGACCCACCTCCCACTCCACATTTCTATAATAGTCTCAAAGTATATTCCAAATGAGCTGGTGATTAGAGTCTTACTTCTTACAGAATATACTGGTTTTTGGGATATCAATGAAATTAGACATGAAGTTTTTGTAAACAACCCAGATATTGTCAGTAGGATTTTAAAGGAGTGTTATTTGAGACTGGCTGTTGGACACATACTCCAATGAGTGAGCTTACCTACATGGTCAACACCCAAAGCCTCCCCCATAAATTGGAGATGAGGAAAGACCATGGAAATCGCTGTCTAGCAAACATCTACTGAAGCTGAATTCCTCAGAACCCAAAGTCCTTCTAAGAGGGGAAAAATGCTTTCTTAATAGCCATGCTATCTCTGAAAAGTAAAGATTAAAATAGTTCACCATTCTTTTGCTGCTTCTTATCTCAGTAATGGCTCCAAAGAAAAATGCTGCCTTTTCCTTGTGCCTAACACCTGTAAAAGTGCCCTGCACACTCAGTCATGCTGAGAGTTGCTGGGACTCACAGGTAAGATTTTGACCGTGCTTCACTGGAATGAGAACATTCTCATCCTATTGAGACTCTGGAATTTATTTCAAAGGTAAGTGCAAAAAGGTATCGAGTGAAAAAGTTGAACCCTTCCTATTGAGATTTGACAGGATCCTTTTGAAAATAAAATGTGATCCTATATTTGAAAGGACCTCCCAAGTAGCAGGAA